CCAATGCACACTTACCCTGATAAGCCATAGGCCCCTTCGGGAAACGCTGAGAAAAAAATTAACGGTATAAATTCTTGGCAGCACAATGGGGTCCGTCCTCAAAAGGATCCAGCCTCCCCTCATTCAAGGGGTTCTTGGTCTGTAAAATGACTCAAATCTGGGAATTGATTGAGGGACCATGACTCTTTCTTTGGTAATTAAAGTAAGGCTTCCATTCACTTGACCTAGAACTCTTCTGCTTACACAGATCACGTCAGAATTCAGTAGACTGCCCATCGAGTTCTCTTCTAGGGACACCATGACCACCTACCCAACGCCACAGGACTCCCAAGTCAGGCTGTTCAGATTGCTGCTTTGACTCTGCTGTCCCCCATGATGGCAACACACCCACTTAGTCTTTGGTGATCACATGGCCCCACCACCCGGGATCCAACCATCCCTGCTGCTGTTAAGGACCTGCAGTCAGTGGCAGCAGCTTTCACTGCAATCTCTGACTGGCAGGGAAGAGCAACCCCAGAGCTCTTCACAGTGCCTCAGGAGAACCAGCAACGTCTTACAAGGTAACTACCTCAAGGGACATCATTACAGGTTATTCAGGCAAAGCAGAGTTAATCTCCTCAAACAGAGGTGGAAGAATTGCTTCTATTGGCAAAAAAGAGTGAGTAAAATTTAGAAGTTTAACATCCCCAACTTCATCAGGATTTTCCCATATGCCCCTATTCCAAATGTGAGGATCCCATTCCTTCCCAATCAATGCCTTCATTTTAACAGCAGACCAAGGTGAAGAAGGGAATTCAGTTAGCACTGTAATTCAGCCACCTACAGCATGAGACTCTGGGTTTGGTTTTCACCCACCCCAGCTCTGCAGCTACAAGAGACACGGGTTTCTTCCGGGCAGACACAGAAACTTTTCGGGTCACTTATGTGGAGCTTCAGTCGGGAATTTGAAGCCTTAAGCTTGCCCTTTTTTTTTTTTTTTTTTTTTTTTTTTTTTTTGAGACAGTCTCACTCTGTTACTCAGGCTGGAGTGCAGTGGTGCAATCTCGGCTCACTGCAACCTCCGCCTCCTGGGTTCAAGCGATTCTCCTGCCTCAGCCTCCCCAGTAGCTGGGATAATCCTTTTCTTTTCTCACTTTACCCAGCACAGTTAAAAGCAACCAGCCTATCTTATTATACTCATTAATTTGATTAAAATGTTCTAAGGTATCAAATACCTGATCATTCTGAATCTTGTCTATAAGCACGAGTGGGAGCATCCAGGTGTGATCTTGTGCGTATCTCTTGCCACATCACACCATGGACTACCAGCGCCCTCTTTTGCACTGGGAATACTCATTATTGCCTTTAAATCTGATCAGTCAAGAAGACCAGTTCCGGAAACACTATCATCAATTCAGAAAACTCATCCTTAAGATTCTGCTTACTAGAAGCACTCTCAGCACCCAAATTTGAATCAGTCAGGGCTCTCCAGAGATACAGAACTGATAGAAAAAATACATAGATGTAGATAAAAACATAAATATCTTCATCTATATATAGACAGATATAGAGATATTAGTATTTTAGGGAACTGGCTCACACAATTGTAGGGGCTAGAAACTTCAAAATGTGTAGGGTAACCTACAAACAGGAAACTCAGGTAGGAATTGATGCTGTAGTCTTGAGGAAAATACTATCCTCTTCAGGACACCTGTTTTGGCTTTTTTGGCCTTCAGTTGATTGCATGAGGTCCACCCACATTATTTAAGGTAATATCCTTTAGTTTAGGTCAGCTGATTATAGATGTTAACCACGTCTTCGGAATACCATCATAGCATGAACCAAGTTAGTATCTGATTAGATAACTAGGTATTATAGCCTAGCTAAGCTGACATAATAAAACTAATCATCACACACAGTATTACTGAACAAAATCTTATTTTCAACTGAAGGAAAAACCTTTTCAACAATACTATTTTATTTGCTCCAGAAAGGCCACGAAATTTTAGTAAGAGCACTTTTCTGAGTGCAACAGAGGAAAAGTCCTGCATTCAAAACCCTTTGGAGGAACAAAGCTGCCATGAACCACCTCTCTTCACAGAACACTATCTTAGGAAACTGTAACATTGTATCTACATTTTTAAAACAATCTCTATGTTTCAAAAATATGATCTCCAACTCTACAACAGAAATCACACTTTAAAATTATCCCTCTGACAGAAGCGCTCTCACTTTCTCACAAACGGGTTGAAATAAATCCTACACGTCCTTTCCTTGTCTTGGTGGAGCTCACATTCCAGCAAGACAACACCCTTATCTAACTATGTTCTCTCTGGACACAATAACCCGGGCATTAAGAAGTATCAAAACACGTTCTGAAAATCTATTCGCTAGGCAACTTCCAGTTCTCAGTATGACCTTCTAGCCAGCACTGTTTCATTATTAGCAGAATCTGGTCAATCAGCCAGACTGCCTGGGTCCAAATCCTGATCCCACTACTTACAAGCTGCATGATCTTGGCCAAGTTACTTAACCCTCATCTGTAAAACACTCATAATTATACCACTGGGTTCAGTTAGAATTAAACGAGGGCAAATGAATAAAGCACTAAGCTCAAGTATTAGCTATTATTATTTTAATGTCCGGAAAACCAGAGATTACTCAGGTACTCAAGTATTAGCTGTTATTATTTTTTTATTACTAAAAAAATTTAGTAAATTTTTTTACCATTTAAAATTTTAAAAGGTACTCAAGTATTAGCTATTATTATTTTAATGTCCAGAAAACCAGCGATTACTCAGGGAAAAATAACACTAATGGTAATTTTAAAATCATTTTTATCTGGCTCATTTACTTCTTACATTAACTGCTTTCAAGAATCCTTCCTCTCTATTCTCAGATGAATTTACATAACTTCTAGTTAAGTTTTATAAAAACTACAAAATGTAATCTCTATATATCCCACCATCGTGGAGTTTTCATAAACACATAGTTAAGGGGCTTTTGATCAAATAAAATTTTTTTGTTTTGATTTTTGAGACAGACAGTCTCGCTCTGTCGCCCAGGCTGGAGTGCAATGGTGCAATCTCGGCTCACTGCAACCTTCGCCTCCCAGGTTTAAGTGATTCTCCTGCCTCAGCCTCCTGAGTAGCTGAGATTACAGGCACGTGCCATCACGCCCCACTGATTTTTGTATTTTTAGTAGAGACGGGGTTTCACCATGTTGGCCAGGCTGGTCTTGAACGTGATCCGCCCACCTCAGTCTCCCAAAGAGATGGGATTACAGGAGTAAATCGCCGTGCCTGGTGTTTAAAAACATTAAAACATGCTTTTAAAAGTCTAAATTACACTCATTTTCTGTAAAATTACAACAGCAATTATCTCAAGAAACTTAAGCATCAGGACCAGGGAATGTAATTGCCTGGTTCTAATGCTTGGATATTGTCAGGCCTCTGAGCCCAAGCCAAGCCATCGCATCCCCTGTGACTTTGCATCCCCTGTGACTTGCACGTATATATAGGCCCAGATGGCCTCAAGTAACTGAAGAATCACAAAAGAAGTGCAAATGCCCTGCCTCGCCTTAACCGATGACATTCCACCACAGAAGAAGTGAAAACGGCCGGTCCTTGCCTTAAGCGATGATATTAACTTGTGAAATTCCTTTTCCTGGCTCATCCTGGCTCAAAAAGCTCCCCCACCGAGCACCTTGTGACCCCCACTCCCGCCCGCCGGAGAACAACCCCCCTTTGACTGTAATTTTCCTTTACTTACCCAAATCCTATAAAACGGCCCCACCCTTATCTCCCTTCGCTTTTCGGACTCAGCCCGCCCGCACCCAGGTGATTAAAAAGCTTTATTGCTCACACAAAGCCTGTCTGGTGGTCTCTTCACACGGACGCGCATGACAGATATGCCTATAATGTATTCGATCTTTAAGACCTTCACCTTTGTAATTGTCAATATTCATGAAATGAAATTCTCAACTTAGCTCATTTCATATAATAATACAAGCAGTCATCTGAAATTGATGGTTCATCCCTATTTGTGAAAAACAGGCCTCATTCTCGGTTCAAAGTTTGTAAGGGGTCAACAACCTCAGATGCCCACAATTTACAAGTGATTAGATTGGAAACTACAACGCTGCAAATGCTGCCTTCCCCAAAGCCAGGTCCATTCATTAATATATCTGTGCCTACTGACAAGAAGGCAGGCTGGTAAAGCACATTTTCAAAGCTGTTTTAAAGGGTTCAATTTTGGTAAAGAGTAATTCAAGACGGATTGTAAAGCTGCTCAGTTTTACAACCTTGGAAGGTGGGGACTTGACGCACGATGTTAACATGTACACGCATCAATAATCCACAGGTAGTTTTGACCCTGATCTCAGGTTGAAAGTACTCAACTATGGAGCTTTCCAGTTTCAGCACAGTAGGCGCTTTCACTCCCCAGTAGAAATCTGGGGTGCTGGCCAAAAAAAGTGTGTTGTCTCCCCTAAACCACACCATGCCAAGTTCAGCCAACGCAGAGTAATGCACCCTTACGTATTCGTCAAGAAGAGGTATAGGCGGTCCCTTTTCTCAAAACCTAACAGGTGAGAATGGCCTCTTGTGGCTTCCCAAATACGGCGGTAAGGACCAATCTGCCAGTTCCTAACAAGAAATTGCTAATTTTTAAAACTACTCCGACCGCGGGCGCTTCCAGACCCCTCCTCAACCGGCTTCCGAGGAAGAGAAGACGGTGAAGGGTTACAGCAGAGCAGGCAGAAAAACATTCCCAGAGCAAGATTTGCCAGGACACCGGCTCAACCCGGAAGGGCGGGGGAGCCCCTGTGGGCCGGGGGCGGTGGGGTCTGCGGGTGTGGACGACCCCAGTCTGGCGGTCATACACTGCCGCAGCCCGAAGAGCGGCGGCCGCAGAGCAGTTGCCGGGTTCGCGCCGCGAGTCAGCTCCCGGACACACGCCCAGGGTTGAAGGTGCCCTCTAGACCCCTCCCGCTGCCCCCAGAGGCCTGGGGCCCAGGCTACCTCTTAGGACGCTGGGGCCGCCGCTTCCCGCCGCGCGGGCTGGACCACAGCTCCTCGAACGCCACGGCAGTGTCACTCAGCAGAGCACCCCGACCGAGAGCGGGTCCGGGTGCCAGAACCCGCGGGACTCAGCCGGACGCCAGCCCCCTACCGCCTCCGGCCCGCCAGCCGCGCCCACTAGCAACGTGCTCGCGACCGCCCGTGCCCTCTCAGCGAAGCCTCCGCATGCCGCGCGCGGCACGTCGGGACTCGTAGTTCCGGCGCGGAGGACTTGCGTCGCGGCACGCTCTCCTGAGCGGCGCCACGTGACCCCGCACCTCCGGAAGTGACGTGAGCAGACACGCGTGGCGCGGGCCGCCGTTTCCGCAAACAGAATCGCGTTTGGGTGTGCTGGTGAGTGTGACGGCTGGAACTGCGGCCCTTCCTTTCTTTGTGTTTATTCCTCGGCTGCCGTGGAGCGGTGGAAGTCGCACTCCCGCTCCTGACATGGGCTCACTTCGGTTAGCCCTGTGCTTCACTGGCCGCGGCGTGCGTCTGTCGCCCTGTGTCCGCAGTGCCAAGCAAAATGGGAACTGCTTGGGGTGGGCGGGCGCTGTTGCTCCTCCAGACCGAGCGAGCCCGGGTGGGAGAAGAAGCCCGAGAGCTGCTCCAGCTCGCGCCCCAGGGCCCTGCTGGGGAGGGGCGCGGGGTCCTCAGGTCTGTCTTGAGCGGCGCCTCGGAAACCTGAACCAGAGCTTGAGTAACAGGCCGCGCCAATGACGGAGGGGAGAGCTTGGCTGGAAGAGTCCGTCTCGCCTCGCTGCGTCCTCTCGGGCCCGTAGTAGAGGGTCAGGCGGCTGGCTTGGGGCTTAAGAGCTTATCCCGCGTGGGCTTTATCCCCGCGGCCCTGGCGGCCCGCTCGGTCGTACCCCGAGGAACTGAAATGACGCAGAGACTTAGCCTGCTCCGGAGGTGTGGCTGGAAAGCCAGGTCGAAACGTCCGGGTGGTTCTTTATCGCGTATCCATCTCGATGTCAGTCGACCATCTCTGGAAGGTTTCTCCTCGAGGATTCTGAGGGACAGCTCTCTTTCCTTTGGAGTGTTTTCATTATTCCACTTTGAGTTCGGTTTGTTCCCCCCCATTTGTTAAATTGGCACATAGAAGTTGCACATATTTGGAGGTACAGGTGATATTTTGATACATGCATGCAGTGTGTAACGACCAAATCAGGGCAATTGGGGTATTTGTCATCTCAAACATCTATGTTTTCTTTATGTTGGGAGCATTCCAATTTTTCTTTTAGCTATTTTGAACTACACAATAAGTTACTGTTAACTGTGTCTACCCCACCGTACTATCAGGCACTAGATTTTATTTCTTCTGGGGTTTTTTGGTACCCATTAACCAGTTTCTCTTCTTCATCCCTGTCTTCCTGCTACCCTTCCCAGTCTGTGGTAACCACCGTTTCACTCTTTACCTCCACAGTTTTAGCTCCCACTTGAGTGACAACATGATATTGTCTTCATGTGCCTGACTTATTTCACTTAACATGATGACATCCGGGTTGATCCATGTTGTTGCAAATGACAGGATTTCATTCTTTTTAATGACTCATATTCCATTGTGTATATGTGCTACATTATCTTTATTCATCTGTTGATGGACACTTAGGTTGATTCCATATCTTGACTATTGTGAATAAACTTGAGACTGCAGATATTTCTTGGATATACTGATTTCCCTTCTTTTGGATCTATTCCCAAATTTGCAAAACTATTCATCGGACGGGGATTAACTAGAATATAGAAGAAACTCATCTCAATAGCGCCAGTTCTATTTTTTGGTTTTTTTTTTTGCAGAACCTCCATACTTTTCCCAGTATATAAATTAGTGGCTTGCTAATTTACATTCCCCCTAACGGTGTACAAGTGTTCCCTCTTTTCTGCATCCTCATCGGCTTTTTTTTTTTTTTTTTTTTTTTTTTTTGACGGAGCCTTGCTCTGTCGCCCAGGCCGAAGTGCAGTGGCTTGATCTTAGCTCGCTGCAACCTTCACCTCTGGGTTCAAGCGATTCTCATGCCTCAGCCTCCACAGTAGCTGGGATTACAGGCGCACATCACCACGTTCTGCTAATTTTTGTATTTTTGGTAGAGATGGGGTTTCAGTATGTTGGCAGGCTGGTCTCGAACTCCTGACCTCAAGTGATCTGCCCACCTTCACCTCCCAAAGTGCTGGGATTACAGGTGTGAGCCACCGCGACGGCCTTAGTATCCATTTTTTAAAAGTCTTTCTGATAAAAGCCGTTTTAACCGAGATGAGATGGTATCTCATTGTGGTTTTGACTTGCATTTCCCTGGTATTACTGATATTGAGCATTTTTTACATATATACCTGTTGGCCATTTGTGTGTCTTTTAGGAAATGTCTATTCAGATCTTTTGCCCATTTGTAGTAGGATTGCTTCTTTTTTTTGCTATTGAGTTGAGTTTCTTCTATATTCCGGTTGTGAACCCCCTGTCAGATGAATAGTTTCGCAGATACTTTCTCGCTTTCTGCAGGTTATCTCTTCATTCTTGTTTCCTTTGCTGTGCAGAAGTTTTTAGCTTGATACAATCCCATTTGCCTGTTTTTGCTTTTGTTGCCTGTACTTTTGAGGTCTTACCACAGAAATCTTTGCCCAGACCAGTGTCTTGAAGCATTTCCACAATGTTTTCTTCAAGTAATTTCATACTTGCGGGTTTTAAATTTAAGTTTTCAGTCCATTTTGATTTGATATTTGCATATGGTGAGAGTGGTCTAGATTTCCCAGCACCATTTTTTGAGGACAGTGTTCACTATGTACGTTCTTGGCACATTTGTTGAAAACAAGTTGGCTGTAAACATGGTGCTTGGTTTTAAACATTCTTACTCATTTTTGTGGTCATCTGGAATGCTGTGTCATTTCTTCTGACCTAATTGATTATGTTTTTATGATGTCACATCTGTGATACCATAAAAGTAAGTGACATAAGTAAAATTCATGCTTAAATCTCGATACTAATTTTAGGTAATAATTATAGCTAAAGATAAGTCACATTGCTTTATTTGAATTTAAATCCAATTTCCATTAAGAAATCAATGGCAGAGGAGGAGAACTAGGAATTTAATAAGTTGGTAGCCAATTTTTCTAGATAATCATTTTAAGTATTTGTTCTGAAAGTTACTTTTTTGATTTTTTTTTGTTGTTGTTCTCTCATTCAGTTCTATTTGGTACCTCTTGGTATTTTGTTACCTCAAATGGTGGATCATGAAAGCTAATAACCCTTGAAATCCTTACCCATTCGTAGTGACTTGTTACCCATTCCTTTAAGCAACTTAAATTCTTATTCTTTTTCATTATCCAAAAGGCTTATTTATTTATTAATTTATTTTTAGCACAACACAAACACTTCCTTCATGAAAAAGCTTTTTTTTTTTTAAGGGGGGTCTCACTTTGTTACCTAGGCTGTAGTGCAGTGGCGCAATCACAGCTCACTGCAGCCTGGACCTCCTAGGCTCAGGTCATTCTCCTACTTCAGCCTGCTGAGTAACTGGAACTAAGGCATGTGCTACCATGCCAGGTATTTTTTGTAGAGACGGGATTTTGCCATGTTGCCCAAGCTGGTCTCTAACTCCAGAGCTCGAGCAGTCTGCCCACCTCGGTCCCCCAAAGTAGTGGGATTACAGGTGTGAGCCACTGTGCCGAACAAAAGCTTAACATTTTAATAGTGGTATGTAAGCTATAAACATCTTGAAAACATAATTTACCTTGAGCTTCTCTGTAGTAGGAGGTCACTAAGTTTGTTGAATGACTTAATCAACCACCGTAATTCTTAACCAATAGATAGTTCAGTTATTTCTCTCTCTTTCCCATCTTAATGTAGGTCTAAGAACGTAGTTGAAGGAGACTTAATGGTCATCAAACTGCAGGCTGAGTCTTGAAACTTGTCTAAAGTCATTTCTACTCTCTCCACTTTCTACCTAATTGGAACACCCATTATGAAATATGATTTCAGAAGTTCTTGCTGTAGAATCCCAAACTTTTTCTGTTCTTGATGCCCTTAGTGTCCATAGGCCAAAAGAAATGCAACAGTTCCATTTATTAAGTAGTTTACCCCAAAGAATTTGAAAGTATTTGTGGTCTAACAACTTTATGTCTGTTTAAAAATATTAATACACAAATTGGGGGAAAAGGTAATGTTTGTGTTTTATTCTTAATTAATCACAATCCCTTGCTAACAGGATGTGTGAACCTGTTGGGTGCTGTACAACTTCAAGCCTCGAAATCAGATAGGCACCGCCAACCTCATTTTCTGTTTCACCTTGATTTTCTGTGATACCAAAATCTCAGCTTCACAAAGTCATTGAAAGGTATGTAGTGCAGTCTATTCAGTTGGAACTGTGCTGCACTTTAAGCTGGTAGTTTCTGTGATATCTTCCACGTTACGTCCTGTGGTGCTGTTTGTTATGGTGCCAACCATGCAGTTTGGGAACCAGAGTTATGGAGTAAGGGTCAGAACTGAAATGGAGCTAGTGCATGTGTATCCCCACTTCATTCATCAGCTTTAATGCCAACAGTGACTTTTATGAATAAGATTATAGAATTACGGGGGGATTATACTTAGTATTACCATATTCAGAAATTCGTACATAATATCGATTAACATTTTTTAATATTTTCTCTACAATGAGATTTTTTAAAACTCCTAGTTGATCAAATTTTTTTTTTTTGATCAAATTCTAGTTAAAATTATTTTAGGCCGGGCGCGGTGGCTTATGCCTGTAATCCCAGCATTTTGGAAGGCCGAGGCAGGCGGATCACCTGGGGTCAGGAGTTAGAGACCAGCCTGCCCAACATGGCGAAACCGCGACTCTACTAAACATAGAAAAAATTAGCCAGGCCTGTTGGCAGGCACCTGTAATCCCAGCTACTCGGGAGGCTGTGGCAGGAGAATCGCTTGAACCCTGGAGGCAGAGCTTGCAGTGAGCCGAGATCACGCCATTGCTCTCCAGCCTGGGTGACAAAAGTGAAACTGTCTCAAAAAAAAAAAATTGTTTTAAAGTCTTAGTGTTTACAAGTAATACCAATTTTTTGTCATTCTAGTGTTGGTTCATGAAGTTTTACCATCAATTCAAGCAATCATAAATGGCAAATCCTACAAAAGCAGAGGAATATGAAAAGATGTCTCTTGAACAGGCAAAAGCGTCAGTGAATTCTGAAACAGAGTCTTCGTTCGATATTAATGAAAACACAACAGCTTCTGGGACTGGGCTTTCTGAAAAAACTTCTGTCTGTAGACAAGTGGACACAGCAAGAAAGAGAAAAGAGTT